CTTAGGCTTTTAGTTGAAATGGAGCACATGCTTCAATTTGGTATCAATTTAAACCAAATTTGATCTGTATTTGTAGAATATGGATACACGCTTAGGGTGAACGAGAAGAGCGATATATACAGCTTCGGGGTAGTTATACTGGAGTTAGTGACAGGAAAGCGCCCGGTAGATCCCGAGCTCGGGGAAAAGGATTTAGTGAAGTGGGTATGCACCACTTTGGACCAGAAAGGCATAGAGAATGTGATTGATCCAAAACTGGATTCCTGTTTCAAGGAAGAAATCTGCAAAGTTCTCAACATTGGCCTCCTCTGCACCAGCCCTCTCCCGATCAACCGCCCTTCCATGAGACGCGTGGTGAAGATGCTGCAAGAAGTAGGCGAAGCGGGGAAGCAGCAGCCAAAGGCGGGCTCGAAGGACGGGAAGTTAACGCCTTACTACTACGAAGACGCGTCTGATCATGGAAGCACAGCATAGAATGGATGATGGATGGCCCCTTTGGATTCTCTTCTCCATCTGCTAACTACCCAGTTTTATTCCCAGTCCCCACTTGGTCTGTGTTTTAATTGCATGAGGGTGAAGAGTGAAGACAACATGACAGAAGAATTGAAGTGAGACAGAGAAAGAGAGAGTAGAAAACTACTTGTGGATAGTTGGATTGATTTGATTGTAAATTACTCATCCCACAAAATTTTCTACTGTTAACAAGTTTGATCAACTATATGTATTAAGCAAGTTTCAATTCATTCCATATTTGTAGTAATTCTCACCCACCTGGTCCGACTAGATAGTAAAGAGGTAAATTACGATGATTTAACGACCTATTAGGTGGGAGGACCCGTCACTGGTCATCTCACAAGGAATATGTAGTAATTCACAAAAAACAGAATCGCCCACCCTTTTTGCTCACTGCGCACAAAGAGTCCTCATTTTGAGAGATTTGTTCACACTGTCGTTGGTAAGATTTGATTCTTGATCTCTTATGACAAATTTCACATTTGTGATCAGTTGAGCTGTTCATGCGAGCAATATGTAGCAATTGTTGTGACAAAAGATGGAATCGTTCACCTCTTTTGCTCATTGCTCACAAAGAGTCCTTATTTTGAGAGATTGTTCTCATACTGTCGCTGATAAAACTCAATTTTTTATCTCTTGTAACAAATTTTACCTCTGTGACCAGTTTAGCTGCCAATGCAAGCAATACGTAGTAATTCTTATTCCACCAGTACCGTATGGGCAGGCTATAGTTACTAACTTACTATTACCTTAAATGGGAAAATGCAAGAGTTTTCTACTTTGAAAAAGTAGATTTGAAGAGTATCTGTATAGGGGAAAAATTTCACTGTCTTCTGGGTTAAACTGTTGCTCATATTAGAGCAGTTCTGAATAGTAATTAGGTGTAGATTTCAACAGTGGTATGGGGGGGTACTGGACAGCATATATGTTGCACAGGAGAAGTTATGAATGGCAATTATTAGGTTTTATTTATTATGGCTACCTCCATTCACTGCTTTGGGTCCCTAGCCTACCAAATTCCATTGTACACTGCATCTTGAAATTAAATATGTTCTAAAATAAGCTCAAGAATGGCATTCCATAATATATCTAACAAAATACGGATTGTACTTCAATTTTAATAGCCTCCACCGACCCCTGTCTTGGAACGTCGATAGAGGATTCACCGATTCTTGTCTTGGAGAATGTTGACAGAGGAGGTAAGGAATCAAACTCTTAACTTAGCGACTACCAACAGAGCAGTTATTAACTCTATTTGAATTGATCAATCAGTTGAGCTGTGTCGATAACAACAGAAATGCTGATGTAGGTGATTGTGTATTCTCATTCATTCATTTGTGGACTTTGAGCTAATGATGAAATGGCAGAAGGATTGAGGATGAGTGGATGAGCATTAGTGGGATTGGTTTTGATTTGATCTGAAATATGAGCACCCAAACTTCACATTCAAATCCTTGTTGAGTGTGTTCTTGGCCACCCTTGTTTCTTTAGATGAACTATGGAAAAAAACACTACAAGTGCTCATTCAAAATATACATAAAAATGTGATATAGTCAAAATAAAAAAAGTGACGACGAGTATCACCTGATACCACTTGTTTAGCTAAACTTTTCAAATTTGAGTATTATTGGCGAATTTGACGCTATTACAATGTAATATCTGTCCATACATATTAAATCCGTGACCTCCTATTTGAGAGGGTCACAATTATACCACTTAACTACAAAATCTTTAATATACTTAATATTAAATTAAAATGAAAATCTTAAATTCAATACCCAATACCCAATGTTATTTTTAATGACTTAAATCCTTAAATCTAGGCATCTAGGTCAAGGGTACATAGTCCATAGAGGTGATAGGCAACATTTGGTAGGAACTAATGGTAGGATGTATATGATTAATCTGTACAACCTAAGAAAATGTGGTTTGTGAAATGTGAAAGATAATCTCACATAATGTGTAGCTTTTAATTAAAGGGAATATAAAAAAGAAACTTGAAATAGGCATTACTCAACCTCAAAATAGGTAATAGGTAATAGGTTGGATTCCTTTGGAAACAGAGAAGGGTAGTTGAAACAGTAATTTCATTTCTTTAATCTTATTTTGTACTTTATGATGTACTCTTACCTCTCTAAACCATAATCTACGTTCTACAACCTAGGCTGCACCCAACATCACTGCTCTGAACAAAAAAAAAAAAAAAAAAAAAAAAAAAAAAAAATCTTCGAAAATTTTGAAAAAGCTTATATCTCCATAACTCCATCACAGTTAAATTTATTGATAAGTTTGACTTTGTTGCATATAATTGATAAGTTTGACTTTGTTGCATATAAAAATATAAGATACGTATAATAGCAACTTCAATAGGGGTAGATTTTTGTGAATTTTTATAAGTCATGTAAGAGAGAAGAAAATAAGAAAGATAAAATAATAATAATAATAATAATAATAATAAGTTTTGACAAGAAAAACAAAAAAAACAAAAAAACATTACGCGCCCAAAGACGTGTGCATTGCACGCGCCTTCTGGACGTGCAAATTGCTGCACACGCCCAACAATCTACCGCAAATTTTTCTCTTTCCCCTAAAAGTAGACCCTCCCACAAATCATATTTTCAAGACAAAAATCTAACTAAAAATTTTCATTTTTCATTAGATAAAAACTAATTCTTAATTTTTTTCTTCCTCAAAACTAAACAAAAACTACTGAGATACTTTCTGTGATTAATTTTATGTACCTAATCCCTCAACTAATAGATTTAAAAATTGAGTTCACATTCTTAAAAAAAAAAAAAAATTGAGTTCTCAATGTTATATCATCTGTGGGAATTAGGTTTCGTTTGGCAGTGTCAGAGTGTATGTGTTCACATTTAATTTGAGATGCAACCATATGGCAGAAGCGGTGGAAAGTGATATGACAAGATAGCTGCGGACTACAGATTAAGTGTAGGTAAATATTAATGTTGAACATAAATGGAGATCTAAATTTTATGCGAAAACCCATTTACTAATTTCAGTGTAAGTTCATGTTGTGTCAAAAGATGATAAATTATCTTTATCACGTAGATCCCAATAAAAATGTCAACATCAAAATTTTATGAGAAGAAATAAAAATTAAAAATAAAATTTAAAAATAAACATAGTATTTTGATAATGTATCCATAACTACTTTCTCAACCTATTGAAGCACAATAGTCAATACTGACTCCACTCAATCGTTATACCGTGCACCAGGACGTACATAGCACTGTGCGCGCTACGCTTCCCAAAACAACATCGTTTTGTTAAGTTGTTAAAAAAAATCACCTGTTTCGAATGCACATAAACTCATAACAGAATACACATAAACTCATAATAGAATACACATAATCTAACATAATACATAATACACATAATCTAACATAATACATAATACACATAATTTAACATAATACATAATACACATAAACTTTTAACTGAATACACATAATGGGGTTTGGTTAACATAATACACATAAATTCTTAAGTGAATACACATAAACAACTCATAACACAATACACATAAAATTTTAACTGAATACACATAATGAGGTTTGATCTATTCGGATGGATGGAGTGACATTAGCATGACTGGGCGCACATTGTTGTGTGCGCCGTGGTGCACGATATAAATCTCCACTGAGGCTTGAACTGACCCACAACCTCCCATATGAGGGAGCAACTTGGTATCATTAGAGCACAAAATCCTTGACGTCCTTGAAAGGATTAATATATCATTTAATAATAATTAAAAGACTAATATCCTGTTTGATAAAATAATTAGTCTATCGGCCAATTTTAACTTATTTGACTTGGTTAAACAACCGATATGAGTGTTTGATTAATTAGCTTTTTGTAACTTAATGCTTCAAAACACTAAAATTCAAAAAGCTGCTCAAATCAGCTTTTTCGATTAGTTTTTTGATAAAGTCATTTTGTATGTAATCAGTTATCAGCTAACAATTAATTTGCCAAACATCTTTTTACAATCAGTTAATACTATTAACTAGTCAAACTCACTAACCCAATAAGCTATTTACTATACACCCCCTAAATATACAAGAAGCCCCAAATCCTTTATTTGGCCGGGAAAGACTGCTTTTGACTTCAAATATTTAAATGACTAAATTTTATATAACTAAATGATTAAAAGTGTCAATTTTTTAATACTTGGCATTTGTCAAAATCTATTAAAATTAAAATACTTGCCATTTGTCAAAATCTATAAAAAGGACACATGCTGACAAGCATTTGGCTCACGGCTTCACCATAAGCAACATTTATGTAAAATCTAGATTATGTTAAAGAAATAACAAATAGTTATGTTTAATTTAAGAAATTAAATTATATTTAGAAAAGAGTAACTCAGTTTTTATTCATTTTCAAAAGACAGCATCAGACTTCAACAGATTTCAGTATGGCAAAAACAAGAAAAACACAAGTTAAAATGTCTATCTAAACCAGCCTGAAACAACTCTAACCAAACCTGAAAACAGAAACCCAAATGAATTTTACAACCATGATCCTGAAATTACATGACTCAGATTTATGTCAGCAGTTAATAGTACATCAGTTACCCAATAATCACACAACTTCTCCAACAAAGTGGTAAAAAGTAAAAATAAAAAAAAATCTGCCAGCTTCAGGTTGTCAAATGTTAGAAGAAAATGTCTAGAGACTAAGGAGAGCACAGTCAGTTCAACCTTTCTACCCAGCTAGCATTTCGAAGGCTAAGACTTGTGGAGAATGCATTTCTCATAGAGAGCTAGAATATCCTTCTTGTTTGGGTTCTTCAACTGGAGCAGCTCAGCACCAAAATTGTGTTTTGTAAGCTCTTGTTTAAGTTTCTGCACTGTGAACTTGGTATAATCTTCTGATTGCTGGCTCTCATTTTCTTCAGATCCCCTGTAAACTGAAGCTCCATCATCAGGTGATCCCATCTTTAGAGGACTACTAGTGCTCTTCGCCCTCTTACTAACCCTCCTTCCTCGATCATTTGTATCCATGTCCTGTACAGAATCCCCCCCTGTTTCGTATTCATGGCCTCTGGCACGTTTTCCATGTGATGCTGTTCTTAGCTTACTGTCTAGTGCGGTTTCATTTAGACGGACAGCAGTCATCTGTTGCTGAAGGAGGTCTAGCTTTCCCTGAGTAGCTTGCAATTGCACAGAGAGAGCTTCAGCCCTATTATTAGCTTCACCACGTGCTGCGCGCTCAGTCTCCAGCAGACTCTCAAGAACTTGAACTGTACTGGCCCTCTGTTCGTTGTTTGATTTCAGTAGAGACTCTATCTCTTTTTCCCTTTCTTCAACTCTAGCCTCAAGTATTGAAACCTTTGACTGAGCATCCGTCTCTGCTGCCCGGTGCCTAGCTAGTTCATCAGTTAGGTCAGTTTTTGCCCTCTCCAGGCTTTCAATGAGTCTCTCAGCCCTCTCAATTTGAGTCAATCTTTCCATTGCTGTTCGCTGAATCTCACTCCTTTCCTTTTGAGCTATAGCAGCTTCAGATCTTGCTTTGTCAGCCAGTTCAGTTGCTCTTTTTGCCTCTATTTCAGCTGATTTGCACCGTTCCTGGACATCCTCAAACCTTTCGAATTCAGATTTGTATTTTTGCTCCAGATGAAGTTTCTCTTGTTCAAGAATTCTAGCTTCTCTTTCAAATGACTGTGCAGTAGCACTAATGTTCTCTAACTTCGCACCCAAATTCCTGATTTCAACCTTCAATGATGATACTTCTAGATCATAGTTTTTTACCTTTGATTCAGCAGCCTGTGAACATGGTTAAGCCATCAAACATTCAAACATATAAATGTGTGCTAGACAACCAAACACAATGACAAACTAAAACATAAGCAAATCGATGCTGCTATGTTATACATAGATAGGTTTAATTATATTACTCAAAAGATTAGGCAAATTTGAGCGACAGACACTAGTTTGCCAGATCTGATTCAAATCACTTTCTATGTGATAACCCATAGATGGATATTCAGAAAACTAGCCAATACTTGTTTGGAAAACATGGCTGTCACATCAAGTGTAAAATGTGCCAACAGAGCAGAATCTCACCTTCAACCCCATGCTGAGGGTTGTCAACTGCTGCTCAGCCTTTTCAAGCTTTGATGCCTTATCCTTAACTTCATCATCCTGTAGTTCAGGAAAAATAAGAGTCAAACATCATCCAGTTAGAAAACTAAAACACAGAAGTATCCATATATGCACTAAAGAAATGTGAGCTAGAAATTTTACCTTCTCAGCCAGGGTAAGGGAAAATTCTTTCCTTAAAGCCTCTTCTCTCATTTGCGTCTGCGTATTTGTACGCTCTTGGACAACTGCTGCCTTCTCTAGAGCTTTTTTCACTTCCTTGACAGCAATTTCATATTTTCGCGCCCACTCCTCAGCTTCCTCTTGAGCAGACTGAGATTGTTCTTTAGCAGCAGCAACTCTTGCTTCAGCAGCAGAAGTTCTTGACTTGAGGATTGCAATTTCTGCATTTACCTGATCTTCATCAGCCCTCAGCTTTGACAATGCTTGCTCGTATTTTCTTTTCCATTCCAAAGACTCATGCTTGGCAGAATCCACTGTTTTTGACAAGCTGGAACATCTCTCTTCTAATGAACTACATTTACTCTGCAAGTTGGTTATACGACTCATATAATCATCTGAAAGCTTCTTCTTGTCATTGATAGCATCTTCATAGCGCTTCAGATATTCAGACTTGTACTTCTCACTAGCTTCCAATTGTCTGTTGAGCAAACCCATCTTATCCTCGATGGAACGGCACTTCAATGCGAGAGAAGTCTTCTCCAATCCAATTTGATCTAGTTGTTTCTTGGTAAGATCTAGAAGTGAGCCTTCCAAACTGGAGAATACAAAGTTGAGCATATCTAAACAAGTATTTCAGTAAAAATAAAAATTAAGAAAATACATTTTCAAGAAAGAAGCACCAATACAAACCTTTGTCGCAAGAAAACACTAAGCTTTCGCCATTTTTCTGGACCATGAGTTGATTCTTCATATTTTGATACAAGCTGATCAAGAACCTGAATTGCACGAAAGAATTACCCAAATTAGTAACTCATAGCACCTATATCAATAGCCTAAAAGATTTCACCCAAAGAGCATAAGACATGAACGTTACTTTAAGTACACCATCTATTTTTGCATCAGGAGCATGACAAGCCATTCTTAGTTCCTTTTCCATGTCCTGTATCGCATTTGAACATTGTAGAAAAGCTTCCCTGAAGGAATCCCTTTTAATATCCTGGGGATCAGCATAGAGCTCAAATTAATGATCATCAAGTCAAATATCAAAGGCTTCAAAGCAGAGTTGGATAATCATTTGTAAGATAAAACTAGCGGTCGGCTTAAATGTATATAAAACATGAACACCCTACCAAAAGAGTACAAAACTCAACCTTTGGGATTGCTAAAGAAAATTTAAGCTTGCCAATCCATATGTAGGTGTAAAGTTTAAGAGTGTAACAGGTCAAAGAATAATATCAAACACAGGACAAAGCTAAGCATCTCTCTCGAAATATGCATCCAAATAAAAATAGGAAAAAATGCGATAGCAAAAGATTACCTCAAATGCCCTTTTAATAAAACTCTGAAGACGCTTCTCATATTTTTGCCTGATTCCTCCAGCCCCGACAGCAGTACCATTAAATGCAGTCATTGAGTTTTGAACAGCATCTTCATGTGCTTCTCTCAATGCAGCCTAAAATCGCCTAAATATTAGAAATCAATGGGATTAAAGAATAATTTGAATGAAGCATCACTTACTTCCTCAGGAGGTGTAGAACGATTGAAAGAAGACATGTAAGCCTCAGCCGCTAGATCATAGGCTCTTTGACACTCTGCTTCCTCAACACTCTACAGAAGTCAATAATACCACTTAAAAAATTGATCAAAACAAACTGCAGGATATAGTTAATGGTCAAACAAGTTTCCATTTCAACCTGCTCATCTTTATGCCATATTGCCATTAAACATCGTCATTTTTATACTTCAATTCAAGTTGGGGCTAAGAGAAGCTGAAACTTGGTCAAAATTGGGTTACACTAAAATCTAACACATTTAGCATCAACTTTTTTTATTCAAAAAATCATATACTCAGTATTGTTTACGTTATGATATTTTAAGATCTCTAACCTTAATTTTTATAAATAATGCAGATTTGATAGAAATGTTTATAGTGAGTTTAGATTGATTAATTTCGTTTTGACTTTCCCAACATAACCTATAGCTAATTTGATTAGATTGACACCACCCAAATTATCCTCAACCCATTTTAACGTCATTTTCCATGAGAAGGTGTGGTATTGATGCAAAATGACACTAACCTGCCATGAAGATGTAATCGTGGGTACTGCACCATTATTTATAGCATCAATAAAAGATTGAGTAATGCGGGCAAAAATGGGTCCCGTCATTACAGTTGCACCAACTTGTTTAGCCCTGGTCCTCTCAAAAACAAATCTTGTCAAAGAATCAAGACCTGCTTTAAATTCTGGCCGGAGTTTATCCAACTGCAAAGGAGGAAAGAAAATTAAAGCATTGCTAAATACTCCCATAATTGAATTATGGGCATTAACATCTGAGTAGGTGTGATGATGGAAACGTACTGCTATTTGATCAAGCCTTTGCAACTCGTTTTCATTGCTCAAGGGTCGCACAAGAGTAAAGCATTCCCTGTCAGGAAAAAGAGCACGAATGGACTCCCTAATCTGCAATGAATAGTATCAAGTCGTTCACACATCTAGAGAAAGGAATACAATAATTCAAATATTAAATACAACACTTCCATAGGAACATAGAAATCTGCAGAGGGTTTTTAATCAAATACCTCATTTTTGGAAGATACATCTCTCCCACCACTTTGAATTGGTCTCAATGCAAGTTCCAAGTAGTCTCGTGGTGTTATTTTCCTATTATCCTCAGTTAAGTCCAAATAAAAATCCTGTTCATCAAAAGATTTATGGAAGGTTTCAAAAGCTAGCAATTTAGAGATCTAACAAGAAATATTCAATAATAATACAAAGATGCATGAAATGAAAGCTAAATTACCCTAAGCAGCCAGACAAATATGGGCGAGAATTGTCCAAGCTCAGATGCTGTATTCCTTCCCCCAGAAGCTCTGACCCGAATATGTTTAGTCATCTCAGTAACGAGTGAGAGCCGATCCAGAGCAGCTTCATCAATACCACCCATCTGGATTTGAGGGGGAAAGAAAGTAGTTTGAAAACTAAGACAACAGAAACTTATATAAAAGTAGAGCAGTAGACATTACAAGTCAATTATGGTTCTTATGAAAAAGGGAATAATAGTGAACACAAAGGATAAAGGACTAAACATGTCCAGAATTATACCGGGAGTAAAAATCTAGTTGAGTAGCACCAACCTGATTATAAATAAACATGCTTGATAGCAGGACTGCCAAAGAAAATATTTGAGTGCTGTATGTTCCCTGTAGTAAAAAAACAAAACGAAAGAAAAGAAACACATAAATCATCTATAACAACTAGGATTGAAGGTGTATGACAGCAACTGCAAGCGCGCGCACACATCTTCAATTGTTTATGTATGCAAATATACCTTTATATTTAATACCAAATGAAATAAAAAAACATAACAACAACAACAACAATAATAATGGAGAAAGAGAAGAGGATATGCAATCTAATATGGGGGAAGCACGCACACACAGAAGAATATGAAATTAGAAAAAATCTCACAGTTTGATCATAAGCATCAATTCCTTCAGTGTCTATCAGCAAAAGGTTATACTCTGTTCCATCTAGAGCTGTTCTCTTTAGTGGTGCACTCCACAACCAAAGACCTTTTGTACATGGACGATGAGTTGATGCCACTTGAAATCCACTACTCCTCCCAAGAAGCTGCAATTTATGCAAGCAATTGTTAATCAGTTCTATACAACTTCTAATAAAAAAATAATAATAATAATAATAATAATAGAATAGTTGAAGAGACATAACTGCTGAGCCAAAAAAGGTCTCTGGCAACTTAACAAAATCATGACTTTGCTGCAGTCTTAGACACTAACAACAAGACTAAGAACAACAACTTAAGGCATTTGTTTAATAAGATGGTTCAACTACCTTTGAAGACATAAAAAGCCTAAACAATAATGATACCTGGTGATTTGCAATCATAGGCAATGCAGAGCTAAACCAACTTGTTAATGTCAAGCCATAGGGTCTCTTTAATCACCAATACAATTTGATACAACAATTTAATTATGAGCATGAATGCTTCCAGAATTTAAATTAAAAGCAGACTAACGTGAAAGTCCTATCTTTTATATACTTCATGCTAACAACTAACCTGACTGGTAAACAGATTAATGCGAAAGTGAAAGTCCTATCTTTTATATACTTGATGCTAACAGCTAACCTGACTGGTAACTCCTAATTGTAACCGCGAAATGCATTAGTAAACCCTAATTTCACAATGAGCATGAAATATAAAATGACACCTCTAATTCATATAAATTAAACAACCCGAGACAATAAAATAAAAACCCTAGATTCCATAGAATGAAGCAAAACTCAAAACTCATATTAATTGAAATGATAAATCCAAACCTGGTTTAGTATATAGCTCTTGCCTTGGCGCGCGCGTCCGCAGACGGACACAACGCCAACGGGCTCCTTAACGAGCTGCAGCACCGCAAGGGCCTCCGGATCGATCTGAAACTTGCCTTTCTCGTCGCAGTACACGAAGCGGATAGGCCTCGCCGGTCCTGTGGCAGTGTTAGCGGGAGGCGGTGGAAACGGCGGCAACGGAGAAGTCGTCGGAGACGCCGTCTGAGTTGGCTCTGCAGTTGATGCTCGGCCGAAAAACCTCCTCATGGTGTTAGCGAAATGTGACGGTGTTCGTAGAAAGAGGAAAGTAGAAGAAGCTTTACGACTTTACAGAGAGAGTGTGTTTGAATATTGAAGAGGGAAAAATTAACAACTTCGTCTTCTCAGAGTTTGTACCGCAAGATGGATTCGATGAAATCCTTGCCAACGAAGATTTGAAAATGGAAATATTAAAAACGATATAAATGTTTTTTTTTTTAAAAAAAAAACGATATAAATAAATAAATGGGCCGAAAATGGGCCGACTAATTAAAATTTTGATATGTCTTCCTAGAAAGGGCCAGAGATCTGAGAACTCACCTTAGTCAACCCGAGATCAGAGAGATATATTCAATAGCCCAACAAGTCTAACAAGAAGTTGGGTTAGCTGCAATGCTTGCAAATTATGCAGTGAGCACGGTTCTATATCCATAATTTCTATACTGTAGATCCATAATTTCTATATTGTAAATTCATAAACTTTATACTTTAGATTTCAATTGTTGAACTCTGTTTTCACAAATCAGAGAACTATATGTTCATAATTAATAACTATACAGTTTAAAAATTATGAATTTACAATACAGAAATTATGAATCTACAGTACATATATTATGAATCTGCAGTATAAAAATTATGAGTCTACTGTATTTAGATTATGAATCTACGGTTTAGAAATTATGAATCTGCAGTATAAAAATTATGAGTCTACTGTATTTAAATTATGATCTACAATTTAGAAATTATGAATCTAAAGTATAAATTTTATAAATCTACAGTATAGAAATTATGAATCTACAGTATAAAAATTATGAATCTACAGTATAGAAATTATGAATATGGAACTGTGCCCACCTTGCAAGATGGGCACATGCTCACAGCATAACGTTCCATGCTTCTACAGTGGACCACGGTCCACGTAGCAAAATGAATTATTTGATATATGTTCATTTTTGGTATATTACAAATTTATTTTAAATATACTATAAATTCCTCTTGACTTGCAAAACTCTAAGGGGTCGTTTGGTTCACGGAATGTCAGATTACCTTAGGGAATGTTAGATTGTTGGGAATGTTAGATTACTGGGAATGTTAGATTCCTGTGTTTGGTTAAAATTGAGGTATGTAATATAATCATGTTTGGTTTAGGTTATCTTTTATACACACTATAATATCCTTAACATATTTTCATATATTTTAATAAATTTAAAAATTAAAATAAATAAATAAGATAACGGTATCATATATAATTACATGATTTTAAAATATTAACTAAAATCTTGAACTTGAAAAACAAAATTATTTTATATGCTAACATAACATAATAAAAATAAAAAAAAAAAATATATATATATATATATATATATATATAATTACAAAAATAATTATATATATATATAATAATAATAATAATAATAATAATAATAAACTAACATAACCAAGGTTATCTTACATTACCTAAGATTTTGAAGGGAATCACATTCCCTTCAAAATCCTATGTGGAGGGAATGTGACATTCCTTGGGAATGTTAGATTCCTTAAGATAATATGAACCAAACACCGGAATGTGAACTTTGGAATGTCACATTCCCTTGGTTATGTTATATAACCTGAACCAAACGCCCCCTAAAATAAATCTATAAGCCAGACATTACTATTACTATATATATATATTAAAATTGAACTTGTGATATATTAAAAATGAACATGTCTTAGAGTTCACAATATAATTTATCGATCTTTTACCTGCATGAACAGCTTAACTGATCATATAAGTAAAATTTGGGAAGAATTTATCGGACTAGCTAAATGAACACCCTAATTATGAGGGTCAAGTTGTGAAGGAAGATAGTTTCTCTTGTAATTTTGCTTAAATTTATTTATTTTTTAATAAAAATAATGGAGATACCGGAACTCATCACAATCAACCTAGCTCGCCGAAAAGGGTCCCTTGGTTTTGGAAAACCTATGGCCCATTTACTAACTTGGAAAATTTTATCAGTTTTCTAAAAAATTAGAGAGCATAAAATAAAAAACATATTTACTAGCACAATTTTTCATTTTGAAAACATGAAATAATTTTTCAATTTTCTAAAAAATTGAAAAACGATTAAAAACTATTTTTTAAATAGAAAACAGAATCATCTATTATATATTTGGCTATATGTCACTATAACCACATTCTCATCATTATCTACTTACATATTTATTCATTACTATGATTACATTCATTATCATCTTCTTTTACTTATCATCATCTTCTTATTTTTCTACTTGCATTACTTATTTAAACATAAACTTATTTGTTTATACTTAAAGTTAGACATTATTTGCATTATCAAAATTAAAAATTAAACTATATACCAAGTTTTATATTTAGATTGAGCTCAATTGATTATTGGTTTAAAATTTTTTAGTTATGTTATATCGTTATACAAGTTTGGTTCAGATATCGGATATTGAAATTTCACATATATTTCTATATTAGAATTCAAAGTAAAAATTTTATATTTATATACATTTGGGTCATTCAAATGAATATATTCAAAATATTTTAAATATTAGCTCAAAAAAATATTAATATTATCTAAACTAAATTTTAGATGAACTTAATATATATATATATATATATATATATATATATATATATATATATATATATATATATATATATATATATATAGTTCGGATATATTTTTAATTATGTTATATACATATATAAATTTGGTTCGGAGGTCAAATGCAAAAATCTTACATATATTGGACTTAAAAGAGAAATTATATTTATTCAATGTAAACCAAATATATTTTAAATATAAGGTTTAAAAATCACTCAAAATGAAACTTGTGTTAATTTTAATTAGAGGAAATTTCAATTTTGGTCCTACGACTATAGGGATCTTGTAAATTTTAGTCCTTGACTTTCAAAAGTGTAAATTTAGTACCTTAACTATGTAATTTTTGTCAATTTTGGTCACACCGGCCAAATTTTGCCAAAAAAAATTAATTAATAGTTAAAATAATAAGGGTATTTTAGTCATTTTACTTGTTTATTCTTTCTTCTCCGACGGTCCATCTCTTAGACCCAGCTTCCGGCGATCGTTTCTTCCTACGTTCTTGAAGTTGTCGCCGCCGTCCTTCATCTCCCCCATATTTCGGATGAGTTGGTCTTCTCTTCTTTCCAAAGCCAATAACGGCAGTGACGAAGCGGCGGTGGCATACAATTCAAGAAACCAAAAAAAAAAAAAAAAAAAAAAAAAAAAAAACACAACCAGACGACAAATTATGACCGACGACGACCTTGATTTGCTTCTCTAGTGGCTTTCCGTGAGCTTTTGCACCATCCAAACACCCTTATTTGCAGGACCCTGAAGAAGCTCATTTGGATGCCAACGACGGCTCACGCAACCTCCGAATTCTGAGGGTTTTCTCTACGAGCTTTGTAATTGAAAAAAATGGCGAAAGTTTGGAGATGGGTTTGAAAAGCGCGAGCCGCGGAAGGATTAAGACTGTATGTGAACGTGGGGAGGGAGCCGAAGAGGAATAGAAGGTGGATGTCAGTGTCGTTCACGCATTCGGCGACGATTGATACGATGGTGATGGATTCAGATCTGAAGAACAGGGTGAAATCTGATTTGGAAGGGTTTCTCAAGTCGAAGCAGTATTATCACCGGCTAGGCCAAGTTTGGAAACGGAGTTACCTGCTTTACGGTCCCTACGGCACCGCAAAATCGACATTCGTTGCGGCAATGGGGAAGTTTCTCGGCTATGACGACGTTTTCCAGTATCGCCGGAAGCTGGGGATAAGAGATGGACCGTCGAAGAAGAAAGAATAAACAAGTAAAATGACTAAAATATCTTCATTATTTTAACTATTAAAATTTTTCGACAAAATTTGGCCGGAGTGACCAAAATTGACAAAAATTACATAGTTAAGGTACTAAATGGTACTTTTGAGCTAGTAGCATTCAAAAAAATTGGTACTTTTGAAAGTCAGAGACTGAAATTAACAAGGCCTCTATAGTCGTAGGACCAAAATTAAATTTTCCTCTTCTAATTATAACGTTAAATCTAAAAAAAATGAAAAAGAAAGTATTAGTAAACAAGTTTTTGAAAATAGAAATGACAACTGAAAAATGAGAAAATAAAAAACAGTTTCGGTTAGTAAACGCCTTAATAATTTGTTTCATAGAAGTGAGAGGGGCAATCACCTCATCCCAATATCTCATCATCTCTATCTTACCTCAAATATCTATTTTTACAAAACAAAGTCAGCTGCTCTATTATATATGCTTGCAATGCAATAAGCATGGCTAAGCACAATATCCTAATTATATTATTGCTGCTTAATTTATATGATATATAATATATTAAGGCGAGTATAAGTTAACAACATCAAGAATGGAAGGAAGTCAAAGCTAAATTGGTTTTGGAGATGGAATATCATGTCGTCTTATCATGAGAGGCCATGAAGTCCAGTTAAATTATTGGCTATAAGCTAATTAACAAGGTAGAGCAGAGCAGAGATTAGGGTAACCTAAAACAGCACAGCAGGTTGAAGCAATGGATGCATGGGTCCATGGATGCTAGCTAGCTAGGAAGCTCCGAGGCCAGACCCATATATCCACTTGCTAGCTACATATATATATATATATATATATATATATATATATATATATATATATATATATATATATATATATATATATAGTACTAACAGCCTAGCACCTCATGCATGGTTGTGGAATCCAATATCAAGCTAAGGGGATGAACAACATGCATGTTCAACTATGTTGCAACATATGTTCATGCCTTTCCTATAAAAGCCAAAGTGTGTGTGTTCCAAGAGTCAATTAAGACTCAAACTTCCATTCATATTTTGTTGAAGAAACCCTATAAAGTGGCCTGTGTGTCGTTTTTCTTCCCAGGTATCAGACACACGCACACAATTGCAGGTGAAACAAGCATGTGTATAGTGGAAGCTTTAATGAGGTGGGGCAACAATTGCAGCCCCTCCTAACGACACAACATGCTCTTCCTCTTTCAATCAAATGTTTTGGAACAGTAGTGGCCTGGTTTGTGTGTGGGGGGGTGGAGGATTACATCGTCATCGAAGTTGTTGAGATGTCTTTGTTGTAGTTTTAGAGGCAATAACTAATTCAA